CGATCGAACGGAGAAGCTCATTACCGACTCGCGCCCTTCGACTCGGGACGCCGGGGACCGCATGCCAAGTGGGCGCGACGGACCTGCTCGTCATCTCAAGCACCTAAAGAGGGGGGAGGGAGGGTGGAGCAGAAAGTGGGGGGGGTTAAGGGTGAGAGGGAGGGGGTGGAGCAGAAAGTGGGGGGGGTAAGGGTGAGAGGGAGGGAGGGTGGAGCAGAAGGTGAGGGGGGGGGGGGGGTCGACGACGGCCATCAAGATGTTCTCTTAAACATTGGATCAAGCACAAAGACACTTGAGAGGGAGAGAGGGAGAGAGAGAGAGAGGGAGGGAGGGAGGGAGGGAGAGAGGGAGAGAGAGGGAAGGAGGGAGGGAGGGAGAGAGGGAGAGAGGGAGAGAGAGAGGGAGAGAAAGAGGGAGAGAAACTTGGAGGGAGGGAGTGAGGGAGGGAGGGAAAGAGATCAGACAGCAAGAGAGAGGAGAGAGAGAATGAAATAGAGACAGAGAAGTGAAGGAGTGAGTGAAATGGCAGTCGGCTAAAGAAGAAGAAGAAGAAGAAGAAGAAGAAGAAGAAAAAGAGGAAGAATCGATTGTCAAAACCCAGAAACCCGACTGATCTCCGCCCATCGAAGCAAAACAAAACAAAACAACGAAACGTAAAAAAAAAGAAAAAAAAAGGAAAAAAAAAAATCAAATCAAACCAAATCAGATCAAGCAAGCCGCCGCACAAACATCTCCCCTCCCCCCTCTCCCCCTACCCCCCACCCCACAAGAAAACTAATATCAGATTCGGGAACTAATTAAGGACGCCGCTTGAAAACAGCGCCGGGCCTCCACCTTGGCCCTCAAGGCTCGCCCAGCGCTGCGCCAGGAATTTAATGTCGGCCGCTCGAAAAGCCTTCTCCCCCCCCCCCCACCGCTGATTTCCCCCCCACGAGAACATGATACACTGTTGAGCGTTCTTTCTCTTCCCCCCCCCCCTCCTCCTTTTCGCTGTTCTTTCCGTGGATTAATTTTCCGTTCTTCTCTCTCTTTTTACTTACTCCTTATATCTCTTCCTTCCTTATTCTTTCGTCTTTCCTTTCTCCACCTATTTCATTCCTTGTTTACATTTTTCTTCCATTCTTCTTTCTCTTACTTCCCCTATCCCTTTCTTCTCCCTCTCTCGTCTCCCATCTCATTTGCACTCTCCTCCACCTTTTCTTCGTTCCTGCTCCCTCTCCCCCGCCTGCTTTCCATAACTTTCTTCTGCCCCTCCCTTTTTTTTCTCTTTCTCATTCCCCTCCTTCCTCCCTCCCCCCTCCCTTCCTCCCTCCTGCCCCCCCTTCTTCTGCCCCTCCCTTTTTTTTCCTCTTTCTCATCCCCCTCCCTCCCTCCCCTCCCCCCTCCCCCCTCCCTCCCTCTCCTCCCCCTCCCCTCCCCGCCGCGTAGGCCACGCCACCTCCAGCGAGGGCGCCTGTGATCATTTAGCTAATGTCCGCCCAAAGCCTCTCTCTCGTCTGGCTGGCACTGGCGACGTTCCATGCAATCCTGATCTCGCGCCGACGACGAATGACGTGCTCCAGACAACGTAGCTCGTCCTGCTCGGCCCCGGCAGGAGTCGACCCTTTTACGACCGCTGCCACGTGTGCAAGCGCATGCAGGCAAATACAACGTTCTTACAACCACATACACCTCTGTGCATATGCAGCTATTAAAAACACACCGAGACGCACACAGCATAATGCATGCAAGTAAGCATACGCACACGCTGCATACACGCAGACACACACGTAGGTCCGCGGTATACTCATGCAAGCGCCCTTGACGAGGCACGGGGACACAAAACAAATACACGAGACAAACGCAAATAAACACGAAAAACAAACACACAACACATAGAACACCAACACCTATATCGTACTTAATGACATAAAAAAACAAACAAATACATCAACATGAAAGCCTATGTCGCACCTATCACGCCCGCAAAAGAGAGTGAGAGAGAGTGAGTGAGTGAGAGAGAGAAAGAGAAAGAGAGAAAGAGAGAGAGAGAGAGAGAGAGAGAGAGAGAGAGAGAGAGAGAGAGAGAGAGAGAGAGAGAGAGAGAGAGAGAGAGAGAGAGAGAGAGAGAAAGAAAAACAGAAAGAAGTAAAGAAAGAAAGAAAGAAAAACGAGAAACAAAGAAAGAGACCCAAGAACGAGAGAAAAGAAATCAAAAAGAAAATCAGAAAGAAAATCAGGAAAAAAACTGAACATGCGTTGCAATAAGACGAAAGTGACGCAGATATTGCATATCGACATCGACCTAAAAGCACTAAACACAGCTCAAAGCGGAAGGAGAGAGACGCCCAAGGAGGAACGCGTGGCGAGAAAGACAATGCGAGGAGGAGAAGGAGGAGGAGGAGCGAAGAGGAGGAGGAGGAGGAGCGAAGGAGCTCGGGGATTTAAAGGCACATTAGGAGGTATTGTGGGGAGGGATATCTAGAAGGAAGGTAGGGGAGGAGGTATAGGAGGCAGCGGAGGAGGAGGAGGAGGAGGAGGAGGAGGAGGAGGAGGAGGAGGAGGAGGTAGAGAAGCAACGTCAAACGCAACAACAATAAAGACGCAAAACAAAAGAAAAGAAAGAAACGGAGAGAGAGAAAGACAAAATAAATAAATAAATAAATAAATAAATAAATAAATAATTAAATGAAATAAAATATAAACACAGAGAGGCAATAGACGAAAAAAGAAAGAGATAAAAAAACGAGAAAGACAAAATACGAGGACGCATAACAAGCCAGCGGGAAGAAGGAAGAGAAAACGCCAATTACGCACAGCAACTACCAAAGCCTTTGAGAGGACCACCTGCACATCGCCCCCCCCCCCCCCACATTCTGCCTCTCCCCTCCCCCCTCCCGCCCTCTTCTTCAGCCTTCTTCCTCCTCTAAATTCAATAATTTCCTCCTCTTCAATTCCATCTCCCATTTCCCCCCCTTCTCTATCCAACCTAAAGACAGACAGACAGACAACCACGCGCACGCACGCACGCACGCACGCACGCACGCACGCACGCACCTACCCACCCACCCATCCAAACGCACGCACACACACACACACACACACACACACACACACACACACACACACACACACACACACACACACACACACACACTCACTCTCACTCTCACTCTCACTCTCACTCTCACTCTCACTCTCACTCTCACTCTCACTCTCACTCTCACTCTCACTCTCACTCTCACTCTCACTCTCACTCTCACTCTCACTCTCACTCTCACTCTCACTCTCACTCTCACTCTCACTCTCACTCTCACTCTCACTCTCACTCTCACTCTCACTCTCACTCTCACTCTCACTCTCACTCTCACTCTCACTCTCACTCTCACTCTCACTCTCACTCTCACTCTCACTCTCACTCTCACTCTCTCTCTCACTCTCACTCTCACTCTCACTCTCACTCTCACTCTCACTCTCACTCTCACTCTCACTCTCACTCTCACTCTCACTCTCACTCTCACTCTCACTCTCACTCTCACTCTCACTCTCACTCTCTCTCTCTCTCTCTCTCTCTCTCTCTCTCTCTCTCTCTCTCTCTCTCTCTCTCTCTCTCTCTCACACTCACCCTCACTCTCACTCTCTCTCTCTCTCTCTTGCCTTACTCTCTCTCTGTCCAACGCTTTCTGTATTTCTCTGTCCACCTTCCACGTACAAAACAGAAACCAAAAACGAAAAAAAAAATCCCCGAAAGGGAATGCTATGGTACCTCTACCACACACTCCCGTCCAGACACATCCACCATAAGAATCCCTTAAGGAAACTTGATCCACCAAATGGGACGTTTAAATAAAACCCCGAGCAAAAAGCACAGTCTTATCTCGAATGTTCTGTGTAAGTAACTAGAAACTGCGTTGCTTTTAGCGGCACCCTTTTCTTTCTCCTGGACTTTGAAGCCATGTTTTTTAATAAGAGTTAAGCAAACAGAAAGCAAAACGTGCTGTCATTAAAAAAAAAGTAAGAAAAGAGAATAACGAAAAGGTAAGCAAAACAACACGAAGCAGAAGACAAGCAGGAGAGAAGCAGGTGAGAAAGCAGGAGAGAAGCAGACGAGAAGCAGGAGAGAAGCAGATGAGAAAGCAGGAGAGAAGCAGACGAGAAAGAAGGAGAGAAGCAGACGAGAAAGCAGGAGAAGCAGAAAGCGAGGGAAGAGCAGGCAGCCGTGGCGCCAGCCTGACAATCGCCCAGCCTGATAACCGCCCAGCCCGCCGACGGACGCAAGGCAGGCCCGGTAAGCGAGCCGGCAAACAGGTGGTGAAGCTCGCGCTGTCCTGAGAACCGTGGCACCCGAGCCATCTGCAGGATTCTAAGGGCACCTGGCTGCAGATTCAACTCGCTCGCCCGAGCAGACTCTGAACGCCCCAACTCCAACCAGGGAAGCACGAATTTCCATACCTAAACAACGAACATAAACAAGACAAACAATAAACAAAACAAAACAGAAAATAAAATAGAAAGAACAGAGAGGCGCTACCCCATCACCCCCACCCCCCCTCCCTTTCCAAGACACACAAGGACCGCCTCGCAAGCATTCACAAGGCACCGAAACCGGCGTGCATTCAGCATAACAAAGGCTTACACCGCCAGGATCCCCCCAAAACTTGTTACATAAATAACACGACCATTTGACGTAATTAACAAACAAATGAATGAATACAAATAAACATTTGAATTCACAGACACTCAACTAGAGAATTAATCAACAATAATAAAATAAATAAAACAAACAAGTCAATCAATGAATAATATCCAGGAAAAAAAGTCGAGTCTACATGCTTCAATCTTGGGATATTTTAGCCACAAAACCCAGAAACAACAATAATAATAATAATAAGAAAGCGAAAAGAAGAAAAATCATAACCATCCTCATCGCCATCATTATACCACAATCATTACCACTATCATCATAACAATCATTATCAAAAAAAAATATATAATAATAATAATCAATAACGATCACTTACGACAATGAGCCCCTGCCGCACCATCTCATAATTATGCAACCTATCCCACGCGCCCGCATTGCCATTCCTCGGGAGACATTCGGCGGCTCGTAACCCTAGGCTCCATCGCCGCGGAGGCCGAGGAGGACACTGAACTTGGAAGAGGAGGAGGAGGATAGGAGGAGGAGGAGGAGGAGGAGGAGGAGGAGGAGGAGGAGGAGGAGGAGGAGGAGGAGGAGGAGGAGGAGGAGGAGGATAGGAGGAGGAGGAGGAGGATAGGAGGAGGAGGAACAGGAGGAGGAGGAGGAGGAGGAGGAGGAGGAGGAGGACAGGAGGAGGAGGAGGGAGAACAGGAGGAGGAGGAGGACCAGAAGGAGGAGGAGGAGCAGAAGGAGGAGGAGGAGCAGAAGGATGAGGCGTAGCAGAAAGAGGACGGCGACGACGAGCAAGAAGAGGAAGAGGAGGAGGAGGAGAAGGAGGAGGAGGAAGAGGACGGGGAAGAGGAGGAGGAGGAGAAAAAGGGGGAAGAGGAAGAGACGGAGGAGGAGGAGGAGGAGGAGGAGGAGGAGGAGAAGAAGAAGGGGGAAGAGGAGAAGGGGAAAGAGGAGGAGAAGAAGGAGGAAGAAGAGGACAGAAGAAGAACGGAACAAACAGGCAATCCAAACATAGTACTCGCCAAAATGGCAAAGCAAACCCACAGACAAATCCACAGGCGTGAGTCACGGAGATACGGGGAAAAAAAAACACCGACACCACCACAGCCGACACCTCCCCCTCCCACCCTCATCCCCACCCAACCCCCTCCCCATCAACCCCTTTTCCTCCCCCTCCCCCCTCACCCCCCCTCACGCCGCAGCTACACTGAGCCATGCAAATAAGCCACAGCGCCTGAGCCGAGCCGAGGGCATGCAACGTGCAGGGGGCCCTTGCATGCCTCTCGTCCGTCCCGCTTTTGCAACGGAAACGAACCGCCTTCGTTTTAACACCAATTCGCACCAATGGACAGAGAAAGATAAAGAGGAAGGAAGGAAGGAGGATGATAAGGGGGGGGGGGATGATGATGATGATGATGATGATGATGATGATGATGATGATGATGATGGTGACGATGACGATGACAAGAACGATGATGATGAGAAGGTGGAGAAGGAGACGAGAGGGAGGGAAAAAAAGGAAAAGAAGAAGTAGAAAAGGAGGAAGAAGGCGAAGAAATCCGTCACTACCAAGTAAGGAACTAACCATCATGAGTGAAAGCAAAAAAAAAAACAAAAAAAAAAAACAAACTCACTGCGGGACTCGAGATGTTTTCCCCCGAGGCAGCAGCATGACTCAGGGGAGGAGAGAGGGGGAGGGGGGGAGAGAGGGGGGGGAGAGAGGGGGAGGGGAGAGAGGGGGAGGGGAGAGAGGGGGAGGGGGAGAGGGGGGAGGGGAGGGAGGGGAGGGAGAGAGAGAGAGAGAGAGAGAGAGAGAGAGAGAGAGAGAGAGAGAGAGAGAGAGAGAGAGAGAGAGAGAGAGAGAGAGAGAGAGAGAGGGGGGGGGGGCAGGGGGGGAGAGGCCAGGACGAGGGAAGAGGCGGGGGGGGGGGGGAGTGGAGGAGTTGGGGGGGGGGACAGGGAGATGGAGAAATGGGGGGAGGGAGCGAGGAAGGGGCAGGGGGAGGAATAAAAGGGGGGAGAGGAGACAGGAGAACCGAATAGTGGGAGAGAGGGAAAAAATGGGGGGATGGGACAGGGGAAGGGACGGGGAGAAGGGGAAATGGGGAGCGAGAAGGAGTAAGGGGGAAGAGACAGAAGGGGTCAAGGACATAGGGGCAGGGGGAGACGAAGGGGCAGTGGACAGGGGGAGGGGCAGGGGCAGGGGGAGGGGGAGTTGAAGGGACAGGGGGAGAGGAAGGGGCAGGGGCAGGATCAGGGGGAGGGGGAGGGGGGAGGGGGAGAGGAAGGGACAAGGGCAGGATCAGGGGGAGGGGGAGGGGGAGGGGGAGAGGAAGGGACAAGGGGCAGGATCAGGGGGAGGGGGAGGGGGAGAGGAAGGGACAAGGGCAGGATCAGGGGGAGGGGGAGGGGGAGAGGAAGGGACAAGGGCAGGATCAGGGGGAGGGGAGAGGAAGGGGCAGTGGACAGGGGGAGGGGCAGGGGGAGAGGGAGAGGAAGGGACATAGTGAAGGAGGAGAGGAAGGGGCAGGGGGAGGGGGACAGGAAAGGGCAGGGGCAAGGAGGAAAGGCAGGTGGATTTCCCTGGCTCCCTCGCCGCGGAGAGACACGGGGCTGCAAAGGTTACGGACACTCACCCCCCCCCCCCCCTCGAAAGAATCTTTCCTTAAATAGTATCCGCTGTCCGTTTCCTCACTTCCCTTACACATCATCATCGTTATTTGTTGCTGCCATTTTTCTTGTCTTTGTTCCTTTCTTGCAATTACCTTCCCTAATATATTACGATTTGCCGTTGTTATAATCATGGATATCCTCATTATCCCAATTCTGATTATCATTATCTATCGTCCCATTACATCCCATTTGTT